TATAGCTGTAGAAGAAAATCCCTTTGTGTGGTCTGATGGTTTTTCAGTACTAAGAAGTGATGAAGCAGTAGGAGCTGCAGTGTCTTTGGTTGATCCATCAGTTGACTGTTGTATAGAACTGTCTTTATCAGCAGATGTTACGTCTGTTCTCTCTGGTGTTGCTGAACCTTCCCTAGTCTGACTTGTTACAGTTTGTTGGGTCTGTGGTGACAGAGATGTTGGTTTATCAGTGCTGTAGAGTGATGAAGCAACACTAACAGAAGCTGATGACAAATCTGTTTTCTCTGTTCCACCAAATGGTGAAGATATTGCAGTCAAAGCTTCTGTTATTAAAGTCTTTACTTTAGATTCATGAGTTTGTGTGGTCTCTGTAGCCTCTGTATCTGTACCATTGGTTTCAGTTGAACTTTGTGTTGTGTGCTGACTAAAGATTTCGGTGAAGGAAGACACAGTTGCTCTAACCATTTCAATAACACTGTGCAATGTGGAGGCAGGGGTCGGATCAGATTCAGAAGGGAAGGAAGAAGTTTCTTGCTGTCTTCTCTTCTGTATAGTAGTAGTGAGGGAAGGTGCATCTGGTTTTTGAGTAGCAGCTATTGATGTTTTTTGTTCATCTACAGTTTGTAATGTAATTTCACTATCTTTTGCTGTAATTACAGAGCTTACTGGTGACATATGTGATGGAGGACTGGATGAATATACATATTCTGTTTGGATTTGTGTACTTTGTACTGATAAAGAAATTGCATCACTTGCAGCTTTGTCAGTTGATGGAAAAGATGATACTTGGCTGACTGTACTTGATAAATGACTTATAACTGTTTCTTCTGATATGTCACCCTGGGTAGGTTTATTTGCTTGTATTGATTCTGTGTTGGCTCCAATATCAGCTCCTGTTACCGTAGTTTTGGCTGTTTGTTCAGGAGTTGATGTAGATTCTGAAATTAAACTTAAGCCAAATTCTTTTGTGGCAAGGGTCTCTTTCTCCACTTCAGAGGAACTCTGTAGATCAGTAGTTGGCACTGTTTTCCCAGTCACATCATCTGATGATGAAAGGGAAACAGTTTGCTCTATATCCTGTGGGCTGTCTTCTGCAAATGGGGTGGTAGATGAACTCTTTGTGTCCTCTGTGATTTCAGCTTTATAACTGGCCGAGTTAGGTGCTGTTGGAAAAGTAACAAGTTCTTCAGCTTTTTCTGTCTGAGCCACTAATGATTCACTTTTGACAAGTGTGGGAGTCTCCCATGATTCACCTCCCTCGTCTTGAACAGAAGAGGTGGTTGATTTGATGACTTGTGTTTGACTTAAAGTTGTAACAACAGCATCAGCAGAGGTATCTATGTTACCACTTACCCCTGAGGCATAAGTTGGACCAGTTGTTGGCCTTTTAGACCCTTTAGATGATAGAAGAGGTGGTGTTGATTCAACTACTGAGATTATATCAGGGTCAATTTTATCAACATCTGGGATCCCAGTAGTTATCATCCCATTATTTGTAACATCAATGGACTCAGGGGAGCTATACATAGGGAGATTAGTCCAATTGTAATCAAACACAGTGGTTATTTCCTCACTTGCTTCTAGCGGTGTCACATTTGTCAAAACCTGGGAGTCATTGGTCTCCTTTTCTTTTGGTCTTTGAGGGGTTCCTTGACTAGTAAGCAGTACAACAATATCTGGAGTGACTGTCACAGCAGCTCCAGTAAAATCACCTGTGTGTCCAGTCTGCAGGAAGGGTTCACCATTAGTTACAGAGGGACTGTGTTTGTCAGACACAATTGTAGTGGCTGTAGATAGAGTATCTTGCAAAAGTAGAACTTGTCCCTCTGTAAGACACAGATAATACAAGCAGGTATTTTAATATCTGCTAAGCAACACAAAGCATAAATAGCATCTGTAAAAACAAGACCACAATGGCCAACTGCTGTAATATGTATAAAAAGGTTTAAGACTCCTTAGAAGAACAATTGTTAAGACAAAATGTTGTAAACATTTTTTTTCTCCCTCAGCATTTCACCCTTTCCCACAAATAGCACTTCAAACTAATTACTGGATTCTAGCAAAAAGACGTGTAGCACCAATACTGGACAGAAAACACCTGTTCAGAAAGCATTGAAATTCATTCAGCACACTCACCTAAAATACCCCACCTAAAAGATGGTATTGTAATTCCAGCCAATTGTCATCATTCTCAAAATTATGCAACATTCACATCTTTATTACATCTACAGTCTGCGCTACTTTTATGAGAGAGTAAAGCATCACTCTAATCTAGCGCTATGTCAAACACGGGTGAAGACCAAACAGGCTAAATTTTCACTGTTGGGGTTTTTTTCAGGGGTTGGCACAGCGAATCATTGATTTCCATCTCTCCCTGTTCTCTGTATCTTCTACTCTGACTCCAACTATCTGCATGTCCTCCCTCACTGTATCCATATATCTCCTCTTTGTCCTTCCTCTTTTTCTCCTACCTGGTAGCTCCACCTCTAACATTCTTCTACCAGTGTATACCAGTGTACCAGTGTATCCACTGTCCCTC